TTTCCAACAAAATGCACAACATATCGTCAGTTAGGTGGTTACCTAGATAGGTGATGATGTTGATGTGGATCATCGTCATCTGAGGGGTCAGTATCTTTGAGCCGGGTACCTGAATTAATGATGTCTCACTCTTTAGTTTCTCATAATGATTTAGGCGATGTTAGTTGTTGCGGCAAAGGTCATGTTTCTCGTCGCAAGCAGGTCTACCTCTGACAGCTGCTTTACGGCGCGATGTTGGCCCTCCGACGCATCTGCAGCTATTTTTTGCTTGCTAGAGGAGAATCGTTTTGGATAAGACTTCATTCTCTCTCTTTCTCTCCTCGTATGGTTCAGTGAAACCGCGACGTGATGGAAGGATGGGAAGAATGCAGTAGTGCCATAAAGGGCAACTCTTAGTCGCGTTTGCCGAAGTTAGTAGATGCATGCCGCCCTCCTCGTATTGGATATGATCAACTGTACATAACCAGACCAATTCAAGCGATCGTTGTATTCAACTGTTGACAAAGAAACCCTTCCTTTTTCAGTTAGACTCACTGTTGAATGGTATTATTAGTTATTTCCGTTTCTTCATGACCTATGTTCAGCGGTGTTTTGGTTTTCCTGTTTTTTTCGGTGTTTCGATTTTCCTCGGATCTCGCATCAGCCTTATAAACCTTACGATACTTCGTCAGAATTTCGGAAAGTTGTTGCTTTGATCTATGACATGACTAAGGTATCATTGATTTTGCACCTGTGTTGCTGATAAGCGAGCGTTGTGTAGCAGTTCCGAAGAACCGATCATTGGGTTTATGGTCAGTCCAGTTAATACACACCTACGATTGCTTAGCCAGTAGAGTTCTGGAGTCAGAGGAATGCTATATGTATTCCGTCTAATCACTCCTGCTTCTTCTTTGCGAGGCAGGTAACAGTACCGAAACGTTGCAAGAAAGCAACATAATACGCGCACTGGTGGTCCATTCGCTGTCGATGCTGTCCTTAGAAACGTGTAGTTCTCTTTATGACACCGAGACGGCGATCAGTGTCTCACAAGTTGCATGAAGTAAAATGCTACTAGTGGCATCCATCATGAATGTGTAGTGAGTCCTTTTTTGTCAGCGATAAGAAACAACAAACATTACTATTTTTTTATTTCCAGGAGATTGAGTAATCAGTTTAACTAAATGGTTCTTTAGCATAAGCGCGAAAGCTTTATTGGACTTTGATGATCCAGCTTAAACGACCAGTAGCTGTACTCGAACTAGCAACGATCAACAAAATTTGACAGTGATTTCATAAATGAAATAGCCAATCTCCCATGCACGATAGTTCTGATTTGCACCGGCTAGAGGAACCTCGTATGATTCCCAGACGAACAACTTCATTCATCCCTTGCAACGTCTTGTATATTGTAACGCATTGAGCCGTTTCTCCTACAAGTGTTCTTAGGCGCTGTCGTTTTCGAAGCATCGTTCGTTTCAGTATGGTACCTAATGGTATTATTTTTAAGACAGTGCAAAACAATTTTGCACGGTGTCGGATGTGGGGAAATTGAAGAAAGTTCTAGTTATGGACTTCTGTTCTTCACAAAAACAACTGTCAACTGATGTTGATTTTGTCATTGTTCTTTTAAGTTTTGAGTCTGCTTTCATTTTACGTTGCCTACACGGTCCAAATATTCTGCCAAAAGCGTTTCGTTCTGGACTAATGCGACCAAACCGTTTGTAACCGTTGTTACCGACTTGACGCCTGACCAGACAAGAGCTCGAACGGAATTGATTATTAGCGTGAATTCCCTCATACAAGTTGTTGTTCGGCATTATAGAAGTTTAGTTATTTGAAAACAGTTCAGACAGCTGTGCAGCGTAGATAGCGCGGGAACGATATTTCGATCGAACCGATTTAAGACACGTAAACCGTGGTCAAACCGGTATCCAGTCCCAGTTTAAGGTCGAAGATCAGCATTGTGTGTTCAGCATTATCAGCAAATCCGTTTAACTTTTCATCATTTCCATTATTAAGTACTGTCGTGATTAAACATCGTTATACCACGGACGAGCAAAACGACACC